GTGGGGTTGGCAAAGTATTCTTCATGGACGGGAACTCTTGGGAATGGGGCTTCGGTGGCAAATTGGGAATGGTCGTGCGGCGTCCATGTTTCACTCTACTTGGATCCCTCAGAATCAGTTTGACCCGATTCGATATAATCCTCTGATCTTGCCACCAGGAGGGGACCCCCCAGTTTCGGAGCTTATTTGTCAGGAGGGTGGTCGCTGGTGTGACTCCAAACTTAACCAATGGTTTGACCCTATCACCTGTCGTAATATAAAGGCTATTCCTCTCCCGTGTGTGAATGTGGAGGATAAACTAATCTGGCATGACACGGCGGATGGTGATTTTACAGTGAAATCGGCTTACCATCTGGCAGTGGCTTTGGACAGGAGCAGGGGTCGTTGGAGGGCTGGGGTGGAATGGATGGATCGTCGATCCTGGATTCGCCTTTGGGAGACTAACATACCTCCGAAACTTAAGGTGTTCCTCTGGCAGGTCTTTCGTCGGATCCTTCCTACTACAGAAGCTTTGCGTGATAGAAAGATTGTGGTCCATCAGCGATGCCCGGTTTGTTGGGAAGCCGAAGAGACTATGGAACACCTCTTTTTAGATTGCCAGGTAGCCAGGGATCTTTGGGGTGCTGCGGGCCTTGAGCATGTCGGGGAAGGATTGCCGCGTCATTCTTTTCCTTTGTTTCTCAAGAAGGTCATGACTCTAATCCAGTGCCCTGCGTTGTTCATGGCGGTGGTGGCCGTCCTCTGGCGAATTTGGCGATCTCGTAATTGGGTGGTCTTCGAGGGTAAGCAGTATAGAGTGGATGCTCTGGTGCGCCAGTTCACGCAACAATATGAGGAGTGGATGAACCTCCCGGTGGATAAAACAGGTACGAGGCCGAATGCTATGGAGGCCAACCAGTCGCACCAGGAGGAGGTGTCGGGGGTTATCTGTGGCTGGGATGGGGCAGTTCGGAGGGGATCGCACTCGGCAGAAGGGATGGTGCTGATGGATCCGAATCGGGATATCATCATGGCCAGTGGGTTCCAAATCCCCGTCATTGATGATCCTCTGGTGGTGGAACTGCTTGTTTTGCGAAGCGCGATACTTTGGTGCGGTGGGCATGGGTTCTCTAATGTACGGTTTGAGGGAGATGCCAAGGTGGTCATTGAGAAGCTCCAACGGAGGGAGGTTAGGGATGGCAAGATAGGAGCTATTCTGAAGGAGGTGTCGCATTATTTGTCCTGCTATCCTGGGTTTTCTGTTCGGTTTGTAGGTCGGCGTGCCAATAGGGTAGCCCATTTAGTGGCTCGTAAGGCCCTTTCTTTGTACCCGGCTATGAACCGTCATTTTGATTTTCAGACCTGGCTGATCTCCAGGATGTAACTATCTTTTTGATCTAATATATGATTATCTTTTGTCAAAAAAAAAAAGACCATAGAAGAGGGGAAAAAAATACAAAAGACAGCTGTTTTTTATAACCTTAATTGTAACATAATTTTATAGAATTTAAGGATTTATTCAAGTTTAGTAGTAGGGGACATTTTTTTGCCAACCGTGTGGGTGAAAGCCTGAAAGGGATAAATAAAAAGTTTGTCGTTTAGTGATAACTAAACCAATCTAATTCGCTGTTTGGATTAAGGGCTCGTTTGCTTGTTGGATTTGAAAATGAAGGTTTTGAGTTTTAAAAACCTTTGGATTTATGATGGATTTGTTGCATCATGGATTTGGAAGAGTACATTGTTTGTTTAGTTGATTTTTTATCATGGATTTGTGATGGATTTGTCTCACATTTTTTCCTTCTATTGTCAAATCCCAAATGAAATGTGGGATTTACAAATCCGTGGGGTCCACGGATTTGGATCTAAAAAAGGGGTTCAAATCTGTGGACCCCACGGATTTGTGTCCCTCAACAAACAAAGAATTTGTGTCAACTCCATGATGCTTGGGATTTGGGTTCCAAATCCATCACCCAAATCCCACAAGCAAACGACCCCTAAGTTCTGGTTGGCGTTTTACTGATTTAGGTAAAAATGTTTTTGTTTAGAGAAGTAAAGTGATTAATCAATGGCTTACCAAACTAATCAAAACTGCGTTCAATGCAGTTTGTCTCTCATCTAACATATTGTGCTACCTTGAGTAAGAAAACGCTATCCAGAACTTGAATTGACTGATCTTTCGGACATGATACTATACTCTAACTCTTAAAGATCAACATCTAGGTCTTAATTCTCTAAATCATATACCCCAAGATCAATTTAATTAGAAACAATAATCGACGGTTATGATTCGTTCAAATATAGGCAAAAAAATGAATGCACCATCTTAGGGTTTATAGTTTATGATTTAGATAATTAGAACCTAGGGTTCACTCATTAAGGGTTAGGGTATAGTATCATGCCCAAAAATCCTGCTAATTCGAGGTCTAGATAGCGTTTTCATACTCAAGGTATGCGGTACCCCGGATTTCACTCGGGGTACCGTAGAAGGCACCATATATATATATATATTATGCATGTATTAATAACAATGCATCAATTTAACTATCACCAAAACCAAATAATATATATTATACCTATTTTCTTATATACATGTATATACATGCATTGATGACAATACATTGATTCAACTATCACTAAAACCAAACGACCCCAAGAAGAAAAAAACACAACAATCTCAATCAAACAATCTCACCGAAAACTTGAGATTTAATTATCACTCGTTTTGAGTGATAGTTTGTGTCACATCAAGCAAACAATGCATGTATTGTTTGTGCAGAAAATTCAAAAAAACAATGCATAACATTGCATACATTGTAACTATCCTAACCAAACTATCACCAAAACCAGACGATCTCAGATAAAAATATATTTTCGCGAATGTTGTTGCTACTTTAGATTATGTTTTCTCGTTGACTACTCGTCAGGTGGCTTTGTGGAAGTCTCGGCAGAGTGCATACTCTTATGATTGGTTGCGCGTTGTTCCTATGAATGGGAGGACATATCGTAGTGTGTTGAGTTATCGATTGGGTGTCACGTTGTTTTCGGTCTAAGCCTTGTCCTACTTGTTCCTCTGTCATTCATGGTGATGTCTTTGGGGATCAAGTTGTGTTTTGTGTTGGTATTGTGGGCATTAAGCATTGGCAATGACTTCGTTCGTGACAACTTATTAGACATTTGTTACAAGTCTGGGATTTCTGCCGGTAGGGTGGTTGATATAGATTTGGTTGATGGTCATGGCGGACCCCTTCGTCCTGCAGATTTGCTGCTTTATTCCTTGGACATGGGGCTAGATGTATGTGTCGATCTTACTAGGTCTTCACTTTTGACTCAGACTTGAATGACTGGTTTTGTGCCTGGTCGAGTTGTTGCTGATGTTGCTCAACAAAAGTATGCAAAGTATCGGGACTTGTGTATGACGGCTGGTTATTTTTTCCTGCCCTTTTTTTCTTCTTCGCTATGAGAGTTGGATACGGATGTCGTGGCTTTAGTCAAGCGGATTCATAAATTTTCCGTGTCTCAGAATGTAGGGCTCGGGCGGCAGCATATATTTTTATTAGGCTTAGCTTTGTTTTAGCTAAGAAAGTGGGAGTCCAGATTGTATCTCGACCAAATACTAATTTTTTTGTTGACCTTTTTTGTTTTGCTTCCATATTCATTATTGTACCATAAAATATAAGTGATATGTGAAAGAAAAAGTAAAATATACTGAGATTCAGATAACTTATTCAGAAAACTTAGCATAAATGTTTTTTGATTGAGGAAGTGGATGCAAAAGCAACAATTTAATGTATTTAAAAAATCAAGTTAAATCTCTATTCTAAAACGTTTAGCTAATGAAGTACGAGCACTTTTACTATGCTATATAGCATTGGTGCTTTAATGTACAATTTGAAGTTGTACTATAATATTAAATGTATAAGTTTAGGTTGTACCATAAAGGAATTTGTATCATTATGTTATGGTACAACTTTACAACTTGAAGTTGTACAATCACATAAGGTACAAGTTTAAGTTGTACCATAAAAGAATTTGTACAAAAATACAGATACAATATGAAGTTGTACCATAACGTTAAAGGTACAATTTCAAATTACACTATAAGACAAAAATCTATAGCACCAATGCTGTATAACATTGTAAAATTCCTCGCAATGCAGTACATCACCTGTACAAGTTTAATATCACAAACAAACAGGCGCATCTAAACCGTCCAGCAGAAACAAATAGGTCGGTGTTGAGGTGGAAAAAATGGTTGGGACCTAACTTTTTAATTAATAATAATTAAATAATTTTTTTGTAAAATAATAATTTAATTTCATCATACGATTTACGATTAGTTGGGAGTATTTATTTCCAGTTTCCTTTTCTCGTCAATTTTATTTCATTTTATTTTTTGACCGAAATTTTCATCAATTCCAAGTTCGTTAACAAAATAGCTGGACTTGGGCTGGGCTTTTATAAAGATGGACCGAAATGGCTCGGCCTAATAAGATTACGGTCAAAGCCCATCACTGGCGGCGCCAACTCCCAGATTCCCACACCTTCCTCTAACGAGTCACCAGATCCCTAGGGTTGTCCATTTTGCGTTTTGTGATTTTGTCTCTTTGTTTACTAGTCGTGGCCGCCATGGTCAAAGTCAAACCCCCAAATTAGGTCCGTACCGGATTGCAACGAGCTAAACTAACGGTTACACCGGATCATACCAGATTGAATATCATCATGATCTCGTTATTGGTTCCATGAATTTTGTAAATACGAAAGAAAAATGGATCGAACTGATAGATTGACCGAACCTAAGCAGACCGAATGCAATGTTGGTCTGGTCTTTGGTCGGGGTCCTAACATGTTTTTTATTATTGGACCGCGGTTCTCATGAGTTTGGTCGGGTCATAAACACCGATTATTTTGTTAAAATAAATAGTTATATAGTATAAATTGAATTTGTACATTTTATTTGAATTTGTACTTTTGACATTAGCGTACAAATTCAACGAGTAACTTGAGTTAAGAGGATGAACAAAGTTTGGAAGTAGTAAGTGGTGATGAGATTAGATTTGGAATCATAACATAGATTATCCATAACTCAAACGACCAATATAAAGCTCGGGAATAAAAAAAATTATAACCTGATTAGAAAACGAAAAAGAAGACTACAGTATTCAACAATGGCGCCCGATGACTGAAAATTACTACCACCATCACTAACTATATAACCCACATGGTGGCGGAATTCCATGGACGATAAATCTCACAAGTTCCTCTCAAAATTTCGCCTCCTCTCTGTGGATTCCAGCTACCTTTACACAACATAGCTATGGCGATCTTCAGCTTTGAAGCAGAGGTGACGACCTCCATCCCTCCGGCGAAGATGTTCAAGGCCTTCGTCGTCGACGGCGAGAAGATCGCCGCTCAAATCTTCCCGGAGGCCATCAAGAGCGTCGCCTCCGAAGGCGACGGCGGCCCCGGAACCATCAAGCAAGTCCATTTCAACGAAGGTAAAAAAACCAACAATTAATCCAACCAATACAATCAAAGTTGTGATTCTGCAAAGAAACGTAAAAATGTAAAATTTTCACTTTTAAAGCGTAGATCTTGACTATATTTGTAATTGAAAAGAGCGATTCTGTATAGAAACATTTTGATAATCTAAAATTATAAAAGTATAAGTTTTTTAAGTTTTAATTTTTTTTATGGATTTACAGGGAGTCCATTCAAGTTTGTGAAGGAAGTGGTGGACGAGCTGGACAAGGAGAAGCTGATCTACGGCTACACGGTGATCGGCGGGGATGCTCTGATGGCCGGAGTGGAGAAAATCTCTTACCGTTTTAAGATGGAGGAATCGGCTGACGGCGGAACGATCTGCAAGCGCAGCAGCAAGTTCTTCACCTCCGAGGAAGGAGGGATTGGTGAGGATGAAGTGAAGGCTGCGAATGAAGGGATGTGGCAGATGTTCTGTGCTATTTTCAAGGCTTTCGAAGGCCACCTCCTCGCCAATCCGTCGTATTAAAAAAAGTACAATTTGCCCTCAAAAGCAAGATTAGTGTCCCGAACATACCGAGATCTATGATTAGTATTGTATTTTGAATCTCAATTTCCGATTCCATGTCAAGAAATAACTTCGGTTCACGAGACTCTCATTCCGGCCTCGCCTCTGCTATCAAATATGGGGGGTAATGTATTAAAAAATACTCGTCACAGAACAAAAAGAGAAAAATTATTCGAAAATGGCGACGGTTGACCCTGTCACAATATTTATATGGAACCAAGGCCGGCTACCTCCAAGTCAGAAAAGAAAGCAACCAGCAGCTTAACATTTCCGCCGTTCTTTCTGCATTCCTAGCTAAGCCTTCACACAAAACTACAGCTATGGCGATCTGCAGACTGCAGTTATGAAGCAGAGCTGACCAGCTCCATCCCTCCCGCCAAGATCTTCAAGGCCTTTGTCGTCGACGGCGCGCGAAGATCGCCGTCCAAGCCTTCCCGGAGATCGTCAAGAGCGTCGCCACCGACGGCGACGGAGGCCCTGGAACCACGCAGCAGCTCAATTTTATCGAAGGTAAAACAATCGAGCTTTTCTTCTGACAAATTCGTGCAGTTGAATTAACCATGACCTGTGACACTGTTATACAAATTATATCTTTCATTGTAGGGGGACAGTTGAAGTTCATGAAGGAAGTAGTGGACGAGGTGAAGTTGATCTATGGCTACACGGTGATCGGTGGAGACACACTTGTGGCCGGAGTGGAGAAGATCTCTTACAGAATGACGATGGAGGAATCGGCCGTCGGCGGCGGCGGAACAAGCTGCAAGCGCACCACCAAGTTCTTCACCTCCGAAGATGGAGGGATTGGAGAGGACGAAATCAAGGCTGCCTATGAAGGAATGAGGCAACAATTCTCAGCTGTATTCGAAGGCTTCGAATCCTACCTCCTGGCTCATCCTTCATCTTAAAATCAAAAGTTCAAACTAATGTTACCCTGAACTATCGTATTATGCTTCAAATACGATATACTCAGCCGAATAAACTTGCCGTTTTACGTCTTACATGATGTAAGAATACATCACTAGAACACTCGGAAAATACGAGCGGATTACCATAAAACCAAACTCTAATCCATATCTAATAGGGACTCACAATCCCACCAGGAAACCAAATCTTTCCTCCGCCTAGAATTAAGTATATATCTGGACACTGAAGAGGACAGTTTAGTTTACTACAATTATTATCAAACGTCGCCGATGAGTTTTTCTTCTCCCGAATCCTCATCCTCATCCTCCGCCGCCACCATCACCGTCCCTCCCTTTCGGACTCGTCACCGCCTTCCGCAACAACCATACCCCGGCCCGGCCCCTCTGTGGTTTCCCCCGCCTCCAAGCAACAACTTTGCTCCCGGCCCCAGTTTCATCGGTCCTCCTCGGCCAATCCCAATGCCGGCGATGAGACCTCCGTTGCCGCTTTACCATCCACGGTGGTGGCCGCTGCTGCGGCCAGCATTGCCGAATCCAGTGTTGTACAACTGGGCAGCGTATGCCTCTTACATTCACTCGGCCATCAGGAACCAAGTGGAGTACTACTTTAGCAAGGAGAACTTGATCAAAGACCTGTACTTGAGAAAGCATATGGACGGGCAAGGGTGGGTCGACATTGGGTTGATAGCCGGTTTCAATAGGATTTCGAGGCTGACCAGAGATGTCAACGTGGTTCTGGATGCTCTGAGGATTTCTAGTGTGGTGGAAGTTTGTGAAGGTAAAGTGAGAAGAAGAGGCGATTGGGCTGCGTGGGTAATCCCAGCTGCACCAAGGGATCAGAGTCTTTTGAGCAAAAGGAAGCCGTAAGGATGTTGAACATAGCTCTGAAAAGATGGGATGAAGAAGAAAGCATACTGAACCTAAGAGAAATACTTGTTCTGGAGGCCCCTAACCGCAAAGCAAGCAACAATGGGTCGCTTTCCAGGCTCCGTTGTCGAATCCTTGAATTGCCCTCTGGCTTTCTTTCCCGGGTGAGCTTAGCCAAATCCACTAAAAATTTCAGCTAGGGCTTATTAAGGAGGCTTAGCTTCTCTCTTTTCTCTTGTTTTAGTTGTAAGATATCTTAAGTAATCAGTAAACTAGTAAGTAAGTCGTGCTCTTATTATCAAGTAAGTTTGTCAATGAATGAAACTCTGCCTATCTTAGCTGCTCAAATTGCCTATACTAAAGCATATATAGAGTAAAGCATACTTCTTCATCTACTTGGAACAATATTACTCAAACTTCTGATCTCGGTTCACAAAGGAGGGATTTTTCATTCACTATTAGCTACTACCAAAAGTGAAAGCTTACAAACTTACCTTAGCCATTAGCCACTACTTCCCAAAGAGAAGATTGATAACAGTTCTGAAAACAGCTCCCCTTTTGCTCCCAATAACTTCCCTCACCGCCTTTTCGTCCGGGGAGAACCCTTTGGCCTTCATCTGCTCCAAAAGCTCCCTGCCTTCTTCCACTCTCTGCTCTCTCGCCAGAGCCTCGAACACTGCACAGTAAGTCCCAGCATTGGGTCTCATCCCTTTCCCCATCATCTCCACCACATACTTCTTCGCATCCCCGATTCGCCCACCCGCGGCCAAGCCCTTGATCAGGATCGCGTAAGTATAGGCATTGGGAGCAACTCCACAGTTGAGCATCCGCAGGAACACCTTCAGGGCTTCCTTGGACTGGCCGGCGTTGGCGTAGGCCTCGATGACGGCGGTATGAGCTACCACGTCGGGCATCTGGCCCTTGTCCTTGATCTGGGAGAAGAGTTCCAAGGCTTCGTGCGTCAGCCCGTCCTTGGACAATTCGTCGAACATCTTGACTGCATTGTTGAACAGCCCATCTTCGCTCCGCATCTTGTGGAAGATCTTCTGCAGGTCCTTCGGGTCCTCCGGGTCCTCGACCGCCGCGGGCCTCTTGTTGAACGGGTCGTACGGCGGAGGGAGCTTGCTCTTGTCGATTTCTCCCCGGTTCGACGGTGACGTGTAGTTCTTCTTCTGATGGTCGGCCGCCTCGTCGGAGTCTGAATCCGAATCGGAACCGGGTGGGGAGAAGTTGACCTTGGTGTTGACGGTCGTCTTCGAGTGGTGGCCGCCGCAGCAGTCGGAACCGAACGCCCTGATGAAATGCTGCGTGATGGTCGGCGGCGGCGGATGCGCTGACCACGGCGGGAAAACGGGAGAGTGAATGAAACGCGAAGGCACGGCTATTGAAGACAATCTGGAGACAGAGAGAGATAGGAGATTGATGTTTGGTCGACGATAGCGTACGTGACGAAGGAGCGTCGACATTTTCGTCGCCGTCTAGTGAACTCCGGTATCTGAGATGGAGGAGTAGACTTCTTCCGTTCCTCGTACGCCGTTGGGAGAACCTTCTGGCAGGCGGCAGCAATGTTTAGGATATGCTATGAGCTGGGCTCATATTAAGAAGGCCCAACTACATGAAATGGGTCCATATGGGTATCACTAGTCTCGTTGGTTCGTCCTTCGATGATCAAAATGAGTGCACATCTAGTGAACAAAGTGAACCGAAACCCGACCCGTGCTAGGGGTGGCAGAACGATTTTTGATTAGCAGTTAACCGGACGGTTTCTAGCCGAAAATCGTTCCCAAGTGTCGGCGGTCGGTCGTCGGAGGAGAGGGAAAGAGGTTCGGCTAGCCAATTAACCGTGATCGGAAACCGATGGTTAGCGCCACTTTCCCTTTCTCCAAAACGACCCCGCATCCCCGCCCAAAGCGACCCCCAGCCTCCCCAACCCTAATCCCATATCTCATTCCCCACTCTCCAGTCAGGCAGCCACCCCTCACCCCACCCCACCCCTTTCTCGCGCAGCCCACGACCACCCTCGCCGTCGCCGCCCTTCACCAGTTCACCGGCCACCCTTGCCTCCCCTCCTCCAGTCACCCCGCCGTCTCCTCCGCCTCCAACTGTCGCGACACGCAGGCAAGCAGGCAGCCTCCAATCGCGCGACGCGCTGCCCCTCCATGCCTCCACCCGCTGCGCCGCCTGCCGTCTCCTGCCGCCTCCAACCGCCGTTGCGCCGCGTGAAAGCCGTCTCCCTCCGCCTCTGTCCGCTGGCTTCGCGAGGAAGTCGCTCCTCCCTCTCCTATCGGTGGCAAGCCCTCCTGCTCGGTTGCTTCTTGAGTGCTGACTCATATTATGTAACTAATGTAAGTTTATTAGAAGTTAGAAGGAAGGAGAGAGACAAAAGGAGTGGTGGTGGAGGGTTTGAATGGAAAAAGAAAGGAGAGATAAGGAATAAGTGGTGGGAGGATTTTTGGATTTTTTTTAATTTTTTTTAGATTAGGGAGTGTTTTTCGGGTATGTGGCTTACCGAACCAAAACCGATAACCGACCGGTCGGTGGTCGGCTAACCGCAATGTCCCTCATGGTCGGTGGTCGGCAGCGGGAGGTGGTGGCTCGATTTTCGGTTAAACCTAAACCGATCGACTGACCCCCCTACTCCATGCCATCCGGCCGAAACCAACCCGGAAACTGAGAAAATTCAAATCAAATGGGTGGGTGAGGGGTGCTAGAATGAAGACTAGTGCTGGCAATGGATCGGGGCGGGTACCTTAATATCCATGCCCCGTATGCTATTACGGGTCGGGGCGGGTAATACCCGCGTGGGTACGGGGTGGGGCTGGTCGACCCACTCTTACATGCTATTTGAAAAAAATACACGCAAAATTTTACTTTTTACGATAACAGGAAGGGAAAAAGACTTCATGAATGAATAATCCTGATAATGTAATGGGTAATTGAGTCTATCTAGTTGAAAGATCAAGTCTAATTAGTTGAAGAAAAGCCCAAATAGGAGATATATGAATGGACGACGTAAGAAATTGACCTAGAACGGGTTAAGAACGGGGCGGGACGAGGCAGGGCGGGTTGGAAGTTGATACCCATGTCCGGCCCCATGCTACTGCGGGTCGGGTAATACCCGCCCCATCGTAGGTCAGGTCGGGTAATACCCGATGGGGCGGGTTCAAATTGCAATCCCTAATGAAGACCATTATTTGGGTTGGTTAAGGGTTCTAAAACCCGAATAGCCCAAATCGACCCAACATCGAATTTTTCGTCTTTAGTTATTGTCTTTTGGTTTTGTTCGGTCAAATTCTATTCCTCACTCTATTTTCCCCTTTGCTATGTTTCTCTCCATAGACTTAGTGAACAAAATGCCCGCAGTGTATTATTTAAATAAGTTATAATACTTTTGGGTGAAATGTCACTTTTACCCTTTGTTTTTAGGGTAAATACAATTTAATAGCAAAACCTTTCGTTTTAAACAATATAAAAGCCAAACCTTTTCGAAAACAATTTAATAGCCAATCCGTTAACTTTCCATCCGGTCAATTATTAGTAGACTTTAATTTAGCAAAATCACTGCTGAGGTGGAACAAATTTGATGATTTGGCACAAAATCAAACATTTCATTAGATAATTATAAATTTCAACTAAGTCTTATATTCTTGTGGAAAAGTTAAAAAAAATTATCTTGTATCTTCTTTTCTTCCCCTACCCTCTCTCAATCGGGGAAACTCCTTTGCGGCAACGGAAGACAACCCCACCTCCGTCTCCGCCTCATCATCTTGCTACTGCGGCTACGTGGTGACGAATTTGATTTCCTGACACGACCCGATCCTTTTTAAAAACCAAATCATAACTCAAACCATAAACCAGTTACCCCGGAGCAACCCAAACCAGGTTTACAAATAAAAAAATAAAAAAAAATCAACAACAACAATGTTTAAGATTCTCAAGTGAAATGCCCTAAACATTTGGACGACCTCAATCCAGAGCAACAAAACATAAAACACAATCCTTGAGTTCCTCAGTATACTCATTAAGACATGAAACTAAAGACATATATAACGGGAGGTCCCATCTCGTTACCCAGCTCCAGTTGACATCTTCAGGTTTGCCGCGGCTGTTCTCCTCGGGTAACCTCCTCTTGATGGATGTGTCCTCTTCCCCTCTCTGCACCTGGTGAGTGAGAAGGGGTCAGTAATGTCGTTACTTCCTAAGGTCTTCGCCCTAAGAAACTCCATACTAACACATTATTAGAGTTTGCTTCCTAGCATGAAAGCCGTTCTCACTTTCAACTCTTAAATAATCATTCTTATCAACTCATTTCAACATTAACTCATAAAAGTGCTCGCCTTCTATCCTTAACTCGAACACAAAATACTAGGACCACCGCGTTACGTCTCGCCGTTCGATGTACTACCCTAGTATGCCAACCGCGTTACGTCTTGCCATCTGGTTGCATACCCAAAATCGGCAATGGCACTGCATTACGTCTCGTCGTCCAGTCTATGCCCGTCAACTACTGCGTTACGTCTCGTCATCCAGTAGTGACTGACACGCTAAAACACAACACCTAACAATGGCCAAGTGTAACCAATGAAAGGGACTGCAGTAACAGGCAAGTTTAATTATCAACCCGGGGTCTAGATCTACTGCTTACTCCGTGATTCTCTATTATCTAGCAAACTAAGTCGAGTGATTGTTGTGAAAAGTAAAAGCAACAAGAAAGCAGTAAATTGTTCAGGTTTCTAAAGCAGGTAAGAGTCACTCGGGATTGAGTCCCCCTAGCCCCTTAGTTAGGTTCAATTGCAATTCCCTGGGTTGATTTACTGTTGATTAGACTGCGGAAGATCCGACAGTAGCTTGGAATCTCTTAAGCTGACCAAGCCCTCTCAGTCTAACTACCCGGCAGACGACTAGTCTTCACTGGGGTAGAAAGCTGAGGCTATGAACACAGAACTCCACTACTGGCGCCAAGAACACCAGTACAAAGCAGTAAACTGGCTAACTCTCGTATAGCCAATCTCTTACTATCGAATGAAGAGGCTCTAACAACCTAATCAGATTCTATCTATCTCAGGTTGCAGCAGAAATTGAGAAAAGCTGATCAGACTCAAATCAATTCAATAAACATGCGTCATTCGATTAAAATCAAACAGTAATATCATCCCAAGTCATTACAATCAAATCCCTAACACAAGGAACTAGGGTTCTTCATACCCAAGTGAGAGAAGGGTTCTACTCCATAGAGAGAGAAGAGAAAACAAGAATCGGATTAGTCATACTCATAACGATGAGGATAATCTGCTCCGGGACGATGATTTCCACTCCTATGACGATCTCCAAGCTCGATTCAATGAAATCCAGCTCTAAGACAGCTTCTAGGATGTGTTCTTCGCACTTTCTCTCTCTAGGGCTCTGTTTTTGCTCTCAAAACGCGATTCTCTCACTTTTGGCTCGAATTAGGCTTTAAAACCGACTTTCCCGAGTTGCACGGCCAGGTGCACGGCCGTGCACAACACCATTCTGGCCGTGCACCCTCAAAACGCACCGTATCAATTATTCGGCCTTCATCCACCTTGCACGGCCAGGCGCACGGCCGTGCAAGCTTCAAGCCTGCCCGTGCATGGCCTCGACATGAGGTGCACGGCCAAATGGCTTAAGTGCACGGCCGTGCAGCCTCCTGGTCTGCCCGTGCACTCCCCAAAAAGCTCGCCTTTCGTCCGTTCTTCGTCCAATCGACCCCATACTCGCTCCTAAGCCTTCATTCACGTACTAGGACCTGAAATAACACAAACAAGCACAACCTAGCGTGAAATCGGCCTAAAACACGAGAATCAACACCTCAAATGGTGTAAGTATGAGGGTAAAAACATGTGTAAATGACGGTCTATCAAACTCCCCCACACTTAACCGTTTGCTTGTCCCCAAGCAAACCAAGTCAGACACTAGGTAAGCTTACATATTTCAATCAACCAACATTGGGGACAAGTCATAAAGGCACAAAACACGTGAATCGCACTGGTTTTCAAACATCAATACATGCACAACCTCAATAACAACCTGGACAACCACCACAAAGGACATTCGAGTGCAGCAAATCGAGTAAAGGAAGAGTCTCCCTTCTGTTCACTGGCCAACCTAGACTTGATTCAACCACTTACTCAAAACAGTCAACTCATGCATCCAACTCAAGACATCAGAATAGAGACCGAGCAATCTAGGTCCTCACCGGGGTACAAGAGCATATAGAAAATGAAAATGAATCACTCACTCTCGACCAGTGGGGTCAGGACAATTTGATGCGAAAGATGCGCATGCTATTTCTCTCAATCCCTATCATCTCTTCACCATGATGGCAGCCTCTAAATGCTAGAGTTCACATATGGGGTGTCACCACTAACTAATCAGGAGGTCTTAGACACAGGTTCAAATGACTGGCTAGGGTCTTGGACATGGGGAAAAAGCCTTTTAGGTGGTG